ACCAGAATTTTAATGCTTGGCTGTCTGACTTCGACTTTCAGCTAGGTATAGTTGTATTCAAACACCAAATAGAAAAAGTGGAGGAAGGTTTTTAGTCTATGATTTGATCCAGTTTTAAAAGCGTAAAAATAACCAAAATATGGTAACTATGACATATAATATTAATTCAGGAAGAACATTTTCTAAATCCCTATTTTAATATTTGACTATTTCTGTCTGTGAAAATAGGATTTTTCTTTAGAATTGAAGCAAATATGTAGAATTTTACACTGAAATACATTTTCTATAAAATATCCTATAATCACTATTTTATAACAAAAGATGTAATAACACTTGATTAATTCATTTACTTAAAAGGTTAAAAACTGAAATGTTTTATCAATTTGTGCTTTAAATGCTTCCAGGATTTCAGATGTCATTGTAAGTTAATTTTCAATTACTTCAACGGTAGCTGTATGGTATATTAAAATTTATATTTTTGATTTAAATATTAACAGCTGTGTGAAAATCACTCTGTTCCAGAATAAATTACAAATTGTGGCTGAATATGTTAATTGCCACGTTTGTTCATTGTTTATTAATTTTATTATTGTAGGGTTCCACTGGATTCCCTGGCTTTCCAGGTGCCAATGGAGAGAAAGGTGCACAGGTATGATATATAAATATAATGTTTTAAGCTATGCAACATAAATGTTCTTAGCTGGACAGGCACGTGCCTGTATTCCCAGATATTTGTGAGGCTGAGGTGGAGGATTGCTTGAATCCAGTAGTTCCACACCAGCGTGGGCAACACAGGAAGTCTGTTTTTGAGTGAATGAATGAATGATGTTCTTGCCTGAGTACTCAGTGTCAGCACCAGACTCATAATTTATTGTGATATATTGCATATTGAAATTGTTTGAACTGTCTTTGATAGGGAGTAGCTGGCAAACCAGGCCCTCAGAGTCAGCACGGTCCAATGGTAGGTGCCTCGATTTAAAATAATGTGCATTTTTCATATTGAATTTAGTTTTCCAAGATAACTTATTTTTCCAAAAATAAAAATTGATTCTGTGACTTTGGATTTGCCAGGCACTAATTCAGGTTCATCTTTTGTTTTCATCTGCAGGGTCCTCAAGGTTCAAGAGTTGCAAGAGGTCCCAGTGGGAAACCCAGGCCAAAGGTATCATCTGCACTTTTTCTGTTTGGATATTGCTGTAGTTTCTTTTCCAGACAGATGCTATGAGCAGGAATTCTAACTGATTCTTCTTTTTGTTTTCTTGGTGTCAGGGTACTTCAGGCTGTGATGGCCCTGCTGACCCCCCAGGTGAAAGAGTACGTGTAATACAGCTACATAATAGAAGATGAAAATTAGTATTTCTGCAAGCGTTTAGATTTCAGGGAAAAGATGTATGTCTGCTAATACATGTGCAAATTTATCCACGAAATCTAGTCTACATTTAAAAATGCTTTTTAATTTATTCCCCTTCAACAATAAAAAAAAGCGTAAACAGTATGTTCTAATTATGTTATAGAAATGAGAAAAATGTGTGTAATTGGACTACGATATCACTCTTATAGTCAAGACAAATATATATATATATATATATATATATATATATATATACACACACACACACGTATACATATATATATATTTAATTTTAAATGCACTTAAAACATCTTTGCCCTCTTCTCCACACCACTTGCTTTCCATATTGATACTCATTGTTCACAGAGCTGGCAGCAATATTATGCCAGTAAAAAAGAAGCTACTAGTAGCCATTAAGCCAGAAACAATATACATTCAACTCAGGATAAAACATCTATTTCAGTACATAGAAAAACTATTTAGTAAATTGATTTTTAATTGATATAAGATGAACCCAAATACATATGAACAAGCATGCCCTTTATTTGGTGTTTTTGGCAAAATAAAGCATTTTTGTAGCCATATTTTTAAAAAGCTGTTCTCCTGATAAAAGTTTAAATATTAGAATCTGTAGTCCTTTAAAAAATTAGAATCATTTCTTCATACTCTATAATAATTTTCAGCATTATGTAGTCAGGTTCATAGTTAATATATTTTTGTATATTATTATTTGAAATATATAGTAGGTGTTTTACAGAAAACAGAAATGCCTTGCAATGCATAACCTAAAATTGAAAATGAGTAACTTTTATTTGAGTAGGAGCAATGAGCAAAACTTGAGTTTCTATTTGTGAAGAAAGTAGGAGTAGATAACACCCAAGAATAAACATTTAATTAGAGTTGCTTTAAGTTTTTGGTTCATATTTAATTAACTTTCCACTAAATGTTTTTCACTCTTCATGAACTGTTCCCAAATTAAATCTATTTATCCTGTAAATTTTGAGCTCATACATTTTGAGCTCATACGTTCATTTGAAGTATTTTAGGGGCAAAGTCATTTTAATAAGATACATTAAATTAATTTAAATGGCTAAATGATTAAATGGAGAACAATTTAACAAAAAATAGCACAACTATGAGTTTTGTTTTTAGACACCACCTATTCTCTCCTCATACATTTGGTTTTGTCTTCCAAAATGTTATGATCAACAATATTTCCTTACAAGTGAATACACTTTTGCTGATATTGCATTTTAATTTGAAAAACAGTACTGTCATCCAACAGTATGATTACTTTTAAAATCACTTTGAGAATGAGAGTGAGAAAAGCACCTTTTGAGGATTAAATAATTTTTGCTTTGTTTTGTTGCTTTAGTAATCTGGATAGATTTTTTTAAATAAATATTCATACGTTTTTCCAATATCTATATAGGAAGAACATATTTCCTGTGTTCCTTGTGATTGATCAGCTATTTCACCCCAAATATGCCTTCATTTTCTGCCAAGAGTTCTTAATTATCTTGAACTAAATAGTTAAGAACACAGTTGAAAAATTACAATTGTAATGCCATAAAATATTTTCTTCAAAATACGTGAGTTGAAAAGTTCAGGGAATTAATTCTGCAGTATCAGTAGATTAGAAAAAGAATAACTATTTTTGCCTATTACAATGGACTCCCTCTCTAACAATACATTTATATTTAACTATACAGTTATAGATGTCATGTATATATATATATATAAGCTTTTATTAAGATATTCTACAAATTAAATGTGATCCCTCATAATCATGATTTGTAGATCACAGATGCTGGTTATTAAGGGTTAAATATAGCTTTTAGTTAGGTCTAGCATTACCAAAATCAGTGAAATAAAAAATGGAACAACAGACAGAATCAAGACACCTAGTTAAATTTGAATTTTGTATAAAGAATAAGTTGTTTTTGTCATAAGTATGTCTTTTGTGATATTTAGGATATGTTAAAATTATTCATTATTTATTTAAAGCTCAAATTTAACTAGGCACTTGATGTTTTATCTGGTGATTTGGTTTCAACACCATCTATACAATGAGTCATTATGGATTTTTTAAATCCTACTTGGAACCTATTTTGATTAATACAAGAATAAGTCAACGCTTTCTGTGAAATTTTATAAAGACTCGATTTTTCATGTTTTTAAAGTAATGATTTTGAAATGTTTCTTTCTTAAAGAATTTAAATTCAAATTGTATTTGAAAGGCAGCAAAATTTTAGAAAGCAAAAATGACACTTTAAGAAATCAGGAAAATAGAGTTTGCTACATAACCGAAGGAATATTATTTTTAAAAATTTGTGTTTAAAGTGAATTTTTGTTCAGGAATCATAGTTTCATAGTTTAATAAGAGTTTAAAAATTTATAAGTTCCTCAGTTTTGCTCAGTAGTTTTGGTAGTCTGATATGACATCTATTTTTGATAACTTCATATATAACTTTGAAGTTACTTTTTCAATGTAAGATGCTGCTAATAGTACAAACTGTACAAACTTGCGATGAATTCTGAGCTAACATTGGCTTATGAATGGTAATGAGGTTTTTCTTGGGAAGGCTAGATTGGTAAATAGAAAGAGTAAATTCTGTTGAAGGCCAACTTCAGTAAACTATATTTTTGATTAGAAAAATACATAAATCCTACCCTAAATGTATTAAGAAGTTTTATTTATGTTATTTTTCATGAAGCTTCTTAAATAAATGTAACTGTTATGTTCTGGACGTATAAAGGATTATCTCTTACCAATTACTTTTTCTGCCAACGATGGAGTCACTGTAATGGGACCTACTTTATGTATTTTAAAAATAGGTAAATTTGAGAGATGAATAATATAGTTAATTTAAAATCAAGCCAAAAATGATATTATAATATCATATTTGGACTGAACATTGATAACTACACAATAAAGTTATTTTCATCTTATCTACAAAACAAATTTACACATGAGTAAAAAATATACTGACATCATTAAAAATAAATACGTTTATTTATTTTTAATATTCTCTTTTTTTATTATTATACTTTAAGTTCTGGGGTATATGTGCAGAATGTTCGGTTTGTTACATACGTATACACTTGCCATGAGGAGTAACATTAGGAGAAATATATTTATTTTAAATATGGGGACTAGTTAACAGCATCTTCTGTGGTCTATCTGTGATAGTCACATACTTTCTCTTTTAGTTTTAGAATATATGGCTAGATACAGAGCATGGATGGAATAAGTTTTAAAACAGTATTTTTTAGAGGGCTGTGGAATTGAATTGAATCAAAATATCTTCCTTCTATGAATGTCTCTAGCCAATGTTTAGTAAAGAAGCTGCAGAACTTCTCAATTCTACATTCTCTTCACTTTTAATTCATATGGGTTCTAAATATATACAGTGTTCCTGAGGTAACATTGATGTGATGTGCAGTTTTGATTAGAGTAGTTTGAAACACTATCGATTTTGCTTTTGGATTAGCACTTATTCTCATGTTGCGTTACCGTAGTTTTGTCACTGTGATGAAGAAGCTGGGTGATACATTGTATTTCATCTATACAAATCAATCTCATAGTATAAAGATGCATCTTCCAAGGCCTGTTGTTAACTTCTCCCCACTGCTTTTTATTTCCAGGGTCCTCAAGGACCACGGGGTCCAGCTGGATTCCCTGGACCAAAAGCCCCTCCTGTAAGTGTCAGAGCTTCCCTTTCTTTCTCTATTTGACATTTTCAGAGTTTTGACAGTCACAGCTTACATTTAAAATATTTGTTAGATATAATATTGATAAAATCTCTATAAAATTACAATTGATGTCAAAGGAAGTAGACATTTTCAATTTATGAGGTTCGTAGATTGTTTCTGAATATAATTTCAACATCTCTTATTAAGTATATTTGAAAGTATACCAAAGACTAGAAAAACATGACTGTCATTCTCTCAGCTGCTCCTTTACTACCATGAATATAATTGACAACATTAAAAATTGTTATCGGCCCTTAAATAGTTGATATATTAGAATTTATCTTTATTTTCCATCATTAATATAACCTTCATCAAATATCACTTTCTAAATCCCTCCAACATTCTGTTATTACTTAAGTCATGCTAAGATTTATTTATATTAATATGATATCTGTCTCTGTAATTGATTAATTGTAGAAAACATAATGACAATTCTCATTAAATCATATCCCTTTTATGAAATGTGTTTAGAGCAACACTCTTGAATGTTCATCAAGCATCTTCATAAAGTTAATTGAAATACTTTGTTTTTATATTTAAATATTTGTGGGGACATAGAACATGCTGAGTTTTTGGTTTTGTTTGTTTTCTTGCAACCTTTGCAGTTTCTTTAAGAGAGCCGAAGTCAGTTTACCCGCATGTCTAGGACAGTGGTTCTTAAATGTAGTCCCTGGCCCAGCAGTATCACAGCTCTTGGGATACTGTTAGAAATGTAGTATCACCGCCGGGCCTTGTGGCTCATGCCTGTAATCCCAGCATTTTGGAATGCCAAGACAGGGGGATCACGAGGCCAAGAGATTGAGACCATCCTGGCCAACATGGTGAAACCCCGTCTCTAC